GAGAAGCTGTTAGCAAATGGTGGTAGAAACACCTGAGTCCTGTTAAATGAGGGATGTGTATTAGTGGACACAGGCTTGAATGCAACTTGGGAATTTGGGGCATAAATATCACAAAACCACCTGTGTCTGTGCTATAAAATGAGGAACTGCTGCTTACCCCAGCCCTTATCACTGTAAGTGCAGCATAAACATCAGTATTTTTGATTATTTTTCTAAAAACACATGCCTAAAAGTACTGAAGGGCCAGAATCAGGATTATGCTGTGCCCTGTCTTAGCCTATGCCCTCCTAAAGTCTGAAATAAACAAAATGTGCTCATACAGGTTTGATTAATCTTACCTTAAGTGCAGAACTTAAAACCATTTCATGTCTATGAATTACACCTGTAACTAAAGCTTCTCTAAAACTTCACCATCCTAATGCCCCTTCTGAGAAGAATGCAGAAGAAAGTTTTCTGTTAGTGTTGCACCATGGAGGGATGAAAACATTAGTATCTCAAAGTATTAGAGGTGGGATACTCATTTCAGACTTGTTTGGTATCTAGGCATCTAAAAACAACCAGTTGCAGCCTCTGTAAGAAGCCAGTTAAAAAGCTTACTCATGAGCTTTGAATGAAACAGTCTGACAAACACTTGAAAGTCCAAGGACTATAAGAAGTCTGGTCACATAGAGGGGGTTTGGGGGTGGTTCATATTGATACCATAAGAAATTTTCAGCACCCAAGTCTGTTTATTCTGCCCCCAAAATTTATTTTTAAAATTGTGATTAGTCCTAGTACTGTTTTGAGTTATGAAGTTCACAGCACAGGTTTTATTATAAGACATAGGCATATATAAAAAGTGTATATCTTATAAAAATAGCACGTATGTATACCATGGGCTTGTTCTGCCTTGGAGTTTATTATCACTGCAGTACCATCTGGTCAATACAAAGCATGAAACTAACAAACAAATAATGTAAATCTGGTAGAAATAACAGGTAAAAATAAGTATTGCAGACACCATGTAGTCATGATAGTATGAACACTTATTTCTATGTGCTGCTTCAGTTCTGGAATTAAAAATACCGAATTCTGATAATAACATACTTTCTAATTAAAGAAGAAATATGAAGAAATATATCTTAAAGTACCAGTGTCTTTTCCTTCTACTTAAAAGATATAACAGCCTAAAAGTTTAAGGGTTCTCTACTTGTGAATAATAACAATATCCTTATTTAATATTTGGAATTAACTTTTAAGAAAAAAAAATCATATCTGTACTATGTTCTGGAAACATGTAGTCACCCAGTGCTTAATTCCTTGTCTCTGAACTTCCAGACATTCCACAAATCTTCACGAGAAGAGCTTTGATTGTTCCCAGCCAGAGAACAGGCTTTGCTGAGTAAATTTAAGAACAGGGTTGAAAGTCAGCAGAACTGGGTTCAAGTCCTGTACCTCTCCTGCTGATCCGCTCTGTGGACAGCAGCTAAAATGGTCTTAGGGAAGCAATGTATCCTTCCACTATAAGAGGGCTTAGGATATTCCTGTCTTTCAAAGAGTTCATGTAACAGGACTGATTATCCACACTGCTTAACTATTCCTTCACTCCCTGCGTTTAAGACAGTCCCAAACAGTGCTCTCCAAAACAATTTTTCCCTTGAGGAGCCTTGCCTTAGGTAGGGTGGACATTAGTCAGTCCTTACCTTTGGCCTCTGAACTGGGGATCAAACCTGGCCTGCTTTTACTCATCAGTAAAGACAGCCAGAAAAGCTATTATACAATCAACAGATCTTTATAAAGACTTAACTCAGAATGCTTATATGTTATTTATTTCTGTAAATATTCATCTTCTTAATGTGTATAGAAATGGTTGTTTACTAATCTTGCATCTGTTAGTAGAAGATCTGTGACAGCAGTTCAAAACTGTATAAAGGATCAGGGGGAGCCTTGTAAATTGTTCATGGATGGAACATAGCATGTTCTGTAACAGCTGGCAGAGGAAGATGCTGAGGCACATGTAGGAACAGTGATAGCATTGAGACAGAACAGGGTTGTAAGCACATAACCTGATAATGACCAAGTAAACCAAAACTGTAGTTCCCTGATGGAAAAGCAGGGCCCTGCTTACCCTCTTGCAAGAAAGACTTTTTGAAAGAGCCATTCACTTGTATCCGGTGCTGTTCTACTGTGCATGTTACCTTCCAGCTAGCTGCCTTCAAGGTAGAGGGCACAGAATTGATAGGATTTGCTATAGAACAGAAAGAGACTGGTAAGAGACCTGAGCGTTATCACTTGAATATGTTTATGCATGAGGTAGTGAAGTAGGGAAATTGAGTTTAATTGCCCCAGTAAAGTTCTTTTTTTCATTGCTATTTAAGATTTAAAACCAAAAAAATAAAAAGCCAGTTCCATTACTACTTCAGAAAATTTTCAGTGTAGGTTTTCCATCAGAAAAATTCCCTTTTAAATTTTTAAGTGCATGACCTAATTCAAGAAATACTAATTAGTCATGTTGCACTACAAGGAGATTTAAATTCAGGTTTTCACTGAGTCTAAATCTGCATTAAAATTGTTTGCTTTTTTTTAATGTTCCTTGTGATTATAAAGAACCTACACAGGCTTTTTTTCTGTGATGTTTTTGTAGAGTGATGACAGAGAGACAGATACAGCATCAGAAAGCAGTTACTCCCTTGGCAGAATCAAGAAGAGTCCCAGCTCTCTAACCAATCTTAGCGGCTCTTCTGGCATGGCCTCCTTATCCTCTGTATGTAAACCAAAGCTTTGTTGTAATGGCTCTTTGCTATTGCTAATCTCTTCAGTATTGTTTTGTCTCCCTTCTCATTCCTTTTGCTTTTCTTTCCTTGGCATCTGTCTCCTTCCTTCCCTCTCTGTTACGTGAACCCTTGCATGGAATTACCTATACCAAATAAAATCTATTTCACTTTTTTTTTTCTTTGTTTTCTAGCAATATATCAGAGCCTGTTCAGGACTCCAGTGCACAGCATACTCTATAAACACTGAACAGAGAGGTGGCTTTTACCCTAAGAACTTACATTTGTAGCTGAAAGTGGGGGATAATTTATATAGAACAAACATTTAGAAAAGGAGAAAGTGGGGAGAAATAAGTGAAAGCAAGAGACAATATTGGTATGTGGTGTGTGTAATTAAATCAGTGAACCAGCTAACCCAAAGTCAGGAGGTTATGTGGACTTTATAGGGAGAAGTAGAATTTTGGGGAAGGATATTGAGATTTCAAAATTGTACATCCTTCTCTTTCTACATAAGTAGTGTTTAATTTTCAGTGTTTTATTTAGGTACAGAATTCAGCCATATAGACTTTATCACTAATCATTTTGTTGGTATTTTCAGAAGGCCTGTTGTCCTAAACCCTTAGGCTCTGCTTTCTGCAAGGGTGGTCAGCTGAAGAGAGATATAATATTTCAAGGATCTGATTACAGTCAATCTCCAGTCTACAGTATCCTATCATTTTATTTCTTCCATCTCAATGCAATAAACACATTCATATTTTTTTGTAGAAAGCTTGGCCTAACACCTCTGATTTACAATTAACTTTCTTCTGTTAATCTGCTTGCTCAGAAGCTTGTATATCAGTGTCCATTACATTTTGTTATTACATCTAAATGGACACAGTTGATTCCTTTACTGTCTGAATTCTAAACATAGCTTCTACCCTGATCTTGAAATATCTGGTGAAATTCAATGCCTGCAAAATTTTTCTCCTCTTGTATGATACAGGTGAGCGGAAGTCTGATGAGCATCTATAGCGCAGACTTCGGCAATGTGGATGTGAAGGGGAACATTCAGTTTGCTATTGATTACGTAGAGCAGCTGAATGAGCTCCACATTTTTATTTGCCAATGTAAAGACTTGGCAGTGGCAGATGTTAAGCGACAGCGTTCAGACCCGTAAGTACAGAGAATATATTTTATCTCCTAATGGAAGTTTCTCTTTTAATGTGAAAATGAGAACTGATGCTTTTTTCCTGTCTCTATAAACCAGTAAATGGAAAAAGAGGCTATAAGATGCCTTACATGTTTTTCCACTCTGAACTGAATATAAATTGCCACTGTAAATTGTACATATATTAACATGGGAAGCTCAAACTTCTAAGAATATGAAATTCTCTTTTAAAATTCAACTTTCCAGATGCTAAATCCTGCTTTGATAAATTTTCAGTAGGATTAGAGCCTATAATTATGATATCTAGGCATACTATAGTTAAATATCCTGTGTGTTATTTGTTGAGGAGACGTTTCAACAGATTTTGCCTTGGTAGAAGGAAGTTAATATTCCACTTTGGAAACTATTGTTATAGTTCACCACTGCTGTTCCATTTCTTACATGTAACAAGCTGAACAACGTAATGGCTAGTTAAGTGGATTTCTTTTACTTTGTAAGGAAATACTTGTGTATTTTGGAAAGGGAAGTTGGAAAGAGTGGGGTTTTTGTTCTTCTAACAAGACTGTCTAAATTTTAGGTATGTAAAGACCTACCTGCTTCCAGAGAAATATAAGCTGGGCAAACGGAAGACTTCTGTCAAAAAGAAAACCTTTAATCCAGTCTATAATGAAATACTGCGGGTATTTATCAAACTATTACTAGATTCGAATTACTGCATGCATGCATGAAGTACGAGGAACCTTAACTTCTAGGCACAGGTCTAGATGCTCTCGGAGCATCATGGATGAGATGGATTGGTCTGTAGAAGTACCCATGTCCTTCCATCGATAGGTTACTCCTCAGTGTACTCTGGATATGGGATTGAGAACACTGATTGTTGTATACTTCTTGCAAACAAACACAAGCTAAATATGAGTGTAAGATGTTTGAAATAAGAAATAAAACGTGAAGAGTTTTGTTCTGAAATGGAAGAAGTGAACAGTTAAAGATGTATAAACCCAGACACATTTTTTTCTAGCCTTTCTAGACACAGCATTGACAAAAATACAGTTTGTTTTAATTTTTTTTTTCCTCATTTCTTCCTCCTGGCAGTATAAAATTGAGAAGGATCTCCTAAAGAACCAAAGCCTTAATATCTCTGTCTGGCATAATGATACCTTTGGGAGGAATAGCTTCCTTGGTGAAGTGGAGCTGGATTTAGGAACTTGGGACTGGAATGATAAATCCAACAAGCAGATCAACTGGTTTCCACTCAAGCCAAGGGTAGGTTACTAAGGGTGGATTAGCTGCTGTTGTAGCTGCACTGTGTAAGTGCAAAACCAAGTTGTCATTTATTTAGGCCTGGTCTTGTGTGTTCTGTGGTTTTTGTTGGTTATAATCATAAATACCCCTTCACTGGTAAATGGAACATACAGTTCTGAGGTTTCTATTAGTCCAGTAAGTAGCTAGCTATTATAGTAGGAAAAACTTTCTGATAGTCTATGGAGTAGGAATTTCAAGGTATCTTTCACTTATAGTCACGTTGCTGTAACAGATCCCTGAAGGCACTTGTTCACTGAACATGAAGCAAACCTCCTGTGAATATGGAGCAAGTGCAGTGTCATTTTAATACCAGATGTAATGATGACTTCCATGTCTGCGTGCCTCTTGTTTGTTAATGGGTTTCTGCCAAAATCTAAACTTTTAGCTAAGCCACTGCCAAAGGTTCTGGTTTCTTCTGTCGTCTTTTTCTCTTTCTTTTTTTCCTTGAGTTTACTCCACTAGTTGAATCCAAAATTAGCTCAATCCAAAATTCAGTAATTTGTAGAACAAAACAGGAATGTCATGGTAGTCTTTAGTTTAATTCGACTGACTTTAAAACAGCTCCGGGTAGATAAATGTAACCAAATATTACCGGGTGCTATGTTCCATCTACAGAAGGTCCATGACTCTTTGAAGAAGTGACATATTCTTCCACCTTTTTGTAAGATAACTCTTCTTGAGGCTAATTTTTAGATTGTATTAAATGAGAGAAAACATTCCTATAGAAATAAGTTTATAAAAGTGTACATTTTGTTGCGCAAAGAGTAAGTTTCCTGAATGAAAGAGTATGCGTTCTTGTTTTAAATAAGTGTGCAGCAGTGGAAAAGATGCACCCTCGATGCCTTTTGGCCTCTCCTGGGTCTTGTTTTCTGCTGTAGTGGAAGTGCTATGTATCTGAGGCACTGTCGAGTGGTGAAACATACCCTAAAATCTCATGTCCTGTAAACTGATGGAAGACTTAATGGATAAGGAAACAAGGGAAAAAAAAAAAAGCCTCATGTAGAAGTCAAGCTTCTTCCAGTGAAAAACTTTGGTAAATTCTGTGTATGAACTGCAAGGTTTGAGATTTGTGGGGTTTTTCTTAAATTTCAGACTTCGACAATGGTTCTTAACCTAGAAAACAGAGGGGAGATGAAACTAGCTCTCCAGTATGTCCCACACCCTGTCGGAGGTATGGATTGCTTCTTTGTTTGGGTTTGTTGGGCCTTGGGGGTTTTGTTCTTTTTTTTTTAAGGGGGGGTGGAGGTAACCAACTCCAATTTTTTTAAAATGTTTTTCAGCTAATTCAGACGTCTTGCTTTAACATAACAGTAGATTTTTTTTTTTTTTTCTAGAGGACAAAATCACCGTGGTAATGAATTGAGTTTAGGATTCAAAGATCACTTTAGGATCTTTTGTTGTTTTTAATGGTACTACAGAAGAAATTATCTCATTGCTATATAATCTTAGATGTTTAATGCAGTCTGTGTGTAACAAAATTCTGTTTCTTGCTAATGATTTTAGAGATTATAAATCATCAGGCAGGTGCTGTGATTTGCTAAATAAGCAATGACAACATACTAAATTCAAGCAATATTAGAAACAGAAAACAGCAATAAGTACTTAGAATGCAGCACAATTTGTTTGGTTTAATCTTGTCTGGCAACTTATACTGGCTGGTCGGACAGTGAAGTTGGGTCTTTAATCCAGCCAATAAAAATCAAATATATTAAGAGCACAAAAGAGCTTATTTGAAAGTACAAGTGGCAATAAATGCTAACATCACGTAGACTGAAGACAAGTTAATCTCTTTATCTAGGAAGCTTGGAAAGAGAAGAAAGAAGTATTTGTTTAGTTGTAACAGAAAAAATGTGATTGTAAGAATACAGACGTGATGTGATCTTGCCACACTTTGGGGTGAAGACTGCAGCTTCAAGAGTACAGAGAGGAATGTTGAATTAAGATGTATGACAATGAGAGTCTAGGCTGAATATTGTCTCTACAACTGGGCAGGAACTGCTGCATCATAGAAATGACCCGTAAAAGGGATTGGTAAGGCTCAATCAGATGTTTCATTTTATTTTTACAGGAAAGAAGACTCTACCTACTGGTGAGGTCCACATCTGGGTGAAGGAATGCCATGACCTTCCTCTTCTGAGAGGCAACAGGCTCAACTCTTTTATTAAGTGGTAAGAACTGTAGTTGAAGTCATCAAACGTGGTGGCCTAATAATGCTACTGATGTGCTTCCTAACCTTATCTTAATGTTTCTAAATTCAAAGTAGAAAACAGCTAATTACTTTCTGATTCTCCTTTATTGTAATGCAAATTGTCCTGCTGGGGGGCTTACACCTTCAAGCTGCTAAGTATATACCACCAAGTAAAAGTATTGGGAAAACTTCCTGTGTAATCACTACTCTCTCATTTTGCTCAGTTACTTGGTGGAAGGCCTAGTCAAAATTGTGTCTGCTCTTGTTTGCATTTAAACAAAGTTTGTTTGTGCAAGAGTATGGTTTAGCTTAGCAAATCGTGGGAGGAGACAGAAGTGAGGAGCACAGTTGTATTTCTTCCTCCTTCCTTTCTACATACAGACTAAAAACATGAAGAGACAAGAATAACAAGATGGTTGGGAAATCTCTGGCAGCAACAAAAAGGTTTCAGCGCCATCAGTGATAATACAGCAAATAAACTCACTTGTGCTTCTTCCCCACCCGAGTTCTCCTTCCCTTCTATCCTCTGAAGCACAAGGGTGGGTACATGCCGCCAGTATTTCTTGGAGGAGACTGAGAATATGACCTTTGACTTCATGATGCTAAAGTATCTTCTCTTCAGTCACATTCTAACAAGCAACGGACAGTGTTTAATCAGCATTTTTTGTCTATTCAGTATGTTTAATGCAGGCTATGCTGTGCAAGTGCAAACTGACAATGCTTTTTTTTTTTTCCCTGAAGTACCATTCTTCCAGATACTAGCAGAAAAAGTCGCCAGAAGACAAGAACAGTGGCAAAAACTACAAACCCAGTATTCAACCACACCATGGTCTATGATGGCTTTAGACCAGAAGATTTGAAAGAAGCATGCATAGAACTCACAGTCTGGGATCACAACAAACTAGCCAACCACTTTTTAGGAGGTCTCAGGATAGGCCTTGGAACAGGTACTGGACAATTAACACATTAATCCTTAATTTAAAAAATACAGTCTTACCTTTTTTCCTCTTCCATTTCTTCTCTTTTTTCAGTGATCACTGAGCAACCTTTCAGTTATTTACTGGAGTTTCATTAATAACTTACCTATTCTTCAGCACAGACCATGAAATGTAAATAACAGCAGTATTACCAGGGTTAGGATGACTGGCAAGTAAGGAGAAATATTAGAAATAAACCTTTGTCTGGCCATACATTGTACCTGGTACTGTTTGAAGTATAAGAATATGCTACTCCTGCACCTAAAATCTTGATAACGTTTTACAAACTTACACATGCAAAAACTAGGCATGTGGTGTGAAGACAGTATTGGGTGGAGATAAAAAGATAGATCAGGAATGCATGATAAGAACTGAAGATAATGGCTAGGAAAACTTATAAATGCAAACGAGTTTTTTAGCATAAGGGCAATATAAGATGTGCAGCTAGAAACATTGTATGTTTTCCTTACTATATTTGTCCCTTACCTTCTCCTGTCTCCTCTGAGGGGAGGATGTGTTTGGAGTCTTTTCAAGCAAATACAATAAAAACACTTTTCCCCAAATTAACTTATTGGATGGTTCATGAAAATAGCCTAAAATACAAATTTGGATAGTAAGTCTCAATTTGAATTTTAGAGTGCCCTAGATTGGGCCACACCAGTGTTCTGTTTTATTCTTGAACTGTCTCAGATGTTAATCCCCAGTATATCTTTCTCCTTGGGATTGTGACAAAAAGACAAAGGATAACAAGGAAAAAAAACCTGGAGAAAGATGACAAAGTTTCCATGTGAAACTGTTGTCAATTATATTTGACAAAATTGTTCAAGTGTAAAGATGCAGAACGGGATCTTCGAAGTACTAGGTCAGCTACCTGAGGAGGTGCAACTGTTTTGGAAGATGGGCAGATTTGATTGTCTGCTCTCAACTCTGCAGCATATTAAGTAATGTTTCTCTTAAAACTAACATTTTTTCTAGGGAAAAGCTATGGGACTATAGTAGACTGGATGGATTCTACTTCAGATGAAACTGCTCTTTGGGAGAAGATGATAAACTCGCCGAACACCTGGATAGAAGATACGCTACCTCTCAGGATGCTAATGGTTGCAAAATTGACAAAATAAGGTGGCTCTTTAATTGCTAGTGTCAAAAATAAACTGTGGGAATGAAATTAAATGTGTGGTAGTGAAACTTGGAAGAAGAACATAATAGCTCTTTTGAAAGTCTCTGCTCCATTGCTGTTCTGGTTTTGTGCTGTCAAATGTCACTTGGTATTTCTAATTAAACTTCTGCCTGCAGATTATTACATAAGTTTAAGGGATTCTTTAATTTCTTAATCACTAAAAATGACTTCAGGAAGGAAGGCACTCAGAATTCAGTGGTAGAGGTAGCTGTGATACCTGGATGCTGGTGTTGCCTAGCTGAAGCGTTGCTGATCCCTTAAATAATCTGAATTACTAGCAAAAATAAAGAGCAGCTCAACTCTTTCTGCACACTTCTGTTGTTCATTAAGTGTTATTAACAAGACAGCAACAGGCTATATTTTGTTTGTGTTCATTAGTATGTGTTTGTATCCTCATTATGTTGTGTTGGATCTCTCCAGTGAGAAATATGTGCATGAAGAGGGTTTTTTTTAAAGTCCCTTTATTTGTAGTTGTACACTTCTAGGACATGAAAGAAGCATTACATGAAGTGGTACTGTCGGTGTTTGTTCTGTTCTGCAGGGTCCAGAGGACTGTTAGTTCCAATGTACTATAAAAATTCAGGGTTATAAAAAATTTTGCTTATCTATGTGTTAATGTCTTGCTAGTATACAGTCCTTACTCTTAAATGCTGAAGGTGTAGAGATGAAACTTTTTTTTTTATTCAAATGTTACTCTAAAGGATCTAAACCTGCCCATTTTAGTGCTGACAAGTATGTTGGGTATTTATTCTGTAAAGTGTACTCGTCTGTGTCTGTAACCATTAGGTTTTTTGTTTTGTTTTGTTTTTTTTTTTCAAAAAGTAATTTATCTGTGCTTGAGCGCCACCATTAGGAGGGATTATGGTGGTCTTGCTTTAGATAGCTTTGCAGCGTAGGAAATAAGGCTGGAATTTGTAACTTGTAGAAATGCATGCTACTAAAGACAGGTAAATGCATAAAAATACGAAGTGTATTACTTTTTTTAAGTAAAAGCAGCCTATTAAATCTAAATAGGGATTAGTGTTTATTAAAATCCAGTGTTTTATGTTAGCAATTCAGCATGCAATATAACGAAATGGAGAGAAAAAACATTTCTGAAAATAAATGCACATTTCTTTGCTCCAGCTGTGTAGGTCTAAGAGCTGGTGACATCTTGCACCTCGGAGTAGAGAGGAGAAGCAAGCTTCCCACAGCTCCAACTCAACCGTTTAATTTAATTATAGAAATTTTAAATGCTACTTGGTATTTATTACACATTATGAATTGGAAAAAAAGAAAGGTGCTATTCAACCTGCCAGGGAACCCAATTTCATCAGTGAGGCAGGCTGTGGAGTTTACAAATGCCAAAAGTCATTGTCAGTCTTGATCTCTTGCTGCTTCAGGTGTTTTGGATGAGATGGGTGACTGCTACAGATTCCTGTTTGCCAGGTAGATACAAAACAGTCTTAAACTAGGGAACAATGTGCATGTGACACTTCAGAAAAATGCATCTGTACTTAGGGGACACAGAGCTACTTTGCTTCTGTATTTGTAATCAGCCGCTCCTGGAAGGGTGGTGATTCTGGGAAAGCAGAGAGGCACCCAGCCTGCTCGTATTCACTGCCTAGATGAACTCATTTTCACCTGACAAGGTAGGTTGCTGTCAACACTTCACAGGATTAACGTCTTTGTTGTGGTGTTTCCCATGAAACTCAAATACATCGCTATGTCAAAATAGCTTTGGGGATGGGGTCTTGAGGCTCTCAGTGTGCAGGCAAGTGTCACGTAACCTGCTGTGTTCTATACTGTACAGAATTTTGATAGCTAAACTTGACTGCCATCAAAATAAAATAAATGGTTTGTGATAGTGTGTCTCCTTGTCTTTTGGTCATGTAGAACATCTGTCTCACTGTTCTTGAACCATTCTAGAGACAGACACTGCGTACCACTACAGAAAATAGATAAAAACTCAGTTTAAATTTTTAAAAGCTACCTGAACATGAATGTAAGATTTATTTGTGCACCGTGCTTTAGTGTAATGACACAGCAGTGTTATGTACTCATCTAGATTAAACAAGAAACTTAGCCAAGTAATAAAAATGGACCCTTTAGTACAAAAGTTCAGTGCTCTTCCCTGTTTTTTAATACATTTTTTTCAGCATGTGCAGAAAATGGAGACAATTACAGGTAAACCCTATAAGGATAGTTGTCACCACACATGAAAGTGAGTCTTCCTTATCCTTCCAAATTCACAGGAGATCATCAGAGACAGACACAGCAGTGTCTCTGAAAAGTATAGTAGTGCTTCAAAATGTTAGGTATTTTAAAGTCAATGTTATTGTTAGTCTGCCATGGAGACTGCATCAAGCTATAGATCTTTTAAAGATTTTTTTCAGCAGCTGTGCTTATAATCTTTTTACTGTTTTACTATTGTCATACAGAAGAAAAATCAAAGCTGTCTTGGTGAGATGAGCTTCAGTAGAAGGGAAGATTACAAACCAAGCTGTTTCATCAGTGGAAAAAGTACTTTGATTACCCTATGCATGCTGTAGCATCTAATTGCAGAGTAGAAACATAACAATTTTGCCTCCTGCTAAAGGATATTATGTTGACTTATTAAAAGGTGCTTGAAAGTAATGGCTGCATCTAATCACATAAACCAGCAGGGATTCTGGATTTAAAATATCTGAAGTCACACAAATTTTTCTACTTAAAAAGAAAATACTGGTATTTTTTGACATTCCTCTGAATGTGGATCACTTAATAAATACAGCTTTCCACCAAATTCATAGTCACTACAGTAGTGTGTTTAAAATCGATAATATGCTGATAGAGAAATGCAAGTTTTTGAAGTTGATTAGAATAAAAAGTTTCAAGAAATTAGTTTCTTTGCACTACAGTTGAAAGATTTGTCATCCGTAACTAAAACTTTAAAAGTGTAGAGTTAGTTATGAGCTAGGGAGCACTTTGATAAAATTAATAGCTATGGTTTGATTCTTAATTCCCGTTGACCTTTATGACAAAGCAGCCGTAATCCTAGAATGTCTTTATATCCATCCTTGTCCCAGAGAAACAAATGGGAAAAGCAACACTTTTTTTTTTTCTTTCCCTTTCACTTTGAGTTTATTTTTGCTTTAGCCTGGAATGAGGCGCTTTTTGGCACACATACATGTGTATGCACATATATGTGTGTGTGCTCTAAATTACACCATCTTTACTTCCTATAAACCAGGCTCCAACACCCCAGCAATCCTTTCATGCTCTATGACCAGAAACCTCCTTTTCCTTCTACCTCCCATTTCCGCAAGTAAGCCTGCAAACCTGAGTTGGTGTGGCAACCCCCATCACTCTGATTTTACCCATTTTGGAAGATCTGGGACTGCCCCCTCCTTGTCTTGTTTGCTTCATCGCCTTTACCCCCATCACTCACTCCTCTGATCATATCCTTTTCCAACAAAGTCATCAAAACCTGCACCAACTTTTTCCTTCCAGCTGCACTTTTTTTCCTCTTCCCTATGCTGACAGATCTGTCATTAACTGCTGAAAAAGTTGCACGTTTTTAGAGAACGGGCCGTGTCTTTACTTACCGTAGAGCTGTCAGTATGATCTGAGAAGGCTGGAGCCTGCTGTGGTGATCTCTTCTGGCACACGCAGGGCACGAGCCGAGAAGTAGTTCTGCAGACTTGGGGGAAATTCCTTTATCGAATCTGGGTGGTTTTGAGAGTGCCAGCAGTGTTTGTTTGCTAAGAAACGCTCCCAGCTCTTTCAGCTGCTCTCATGGGGCTGGCCCAGTTCCAGCCAGCCAGGATGAAGGCATGAGCTCTGGGGTGACTGGATTCAGCCTCTTACCTCCACGGAGACAGAAACCTGCAGCAGGAGTGGCAGCAAACGGTTGGGGAAAGAAAACACCTGGTAAGAAAACATTTTTCTCCCCTTAAACCTGACTCTTCATTGCGTTTCCACTGGATGGCCTAAAACTTTTAGTCCTTCCCCCTCTCCTCTGTTATTTCCAAATGTGTGGGCAGGATCCAAGGTCGCAGCAGTAGCAGGGGAGTGCAGGACGGTGGAGGTAAAAAAAATTCTTTTTTGCTGTATGTTATTTTTTTTATCCTTCCTTTAAGCTGACTCCTTCCCACAGCCCTGTCTTTACATCCAGTCAAAGCCCTGGAATTCACAGAACCTGATCATCAGCATGCTGTTTCAGATGCTGTATAGTTCCAGGTCTGGATCTGAATGAAAAATTCATAGATGAGTTTTAGGCTGACTTTTCATATGTCTGGGTAGCATAGTGTATGATTAGGCACCAGTAATGATTTGGTGCCAATGTAATAGTAAATATTTTCCTTAGTTTTACATGAGGAACCAGACTTCTAAAGTTACATGCCTAAAATAATCCAGTAAATCAGTGTCAAAACCCAAGTGATGAACCATTTCTACAGGCACAAATTCTTTGTATCACAGGGCATTCAGTAATTATTAGCATTGTATAGATCTCATTCATAAATTGCTAAGCATGGTGTAAGGCTAATTGGTTATTTTAAATGAGCAATATAACATTAAAACCTTATAAATCAATTAGAATTTTGATGTAACCATGTTTTACTTGCATATATAATACCAGATCTGGAGGAGAAAATAAAGGCAGAGGAAGAGGATTGCTTAAGGAATTTACTGCTTTATCACTTACAAGCTTTTAACCTAAATATAATAGTACTTCTTGTAGCTACAACAACAGAGCCCTTTGAGAAGGAATAATTAGCAAAGCTAGTAATCAGCAAATGAATAGGCTTGCATAAACACTAAGCCTACATTCTTTGCTTTTGCATCATGGAGCCTGGCAGCCTTCTCACCAGCCTCCTGACTGAAGCAGGGTGAGGCAGGTGAGGAGGGCTGCAGTACCCTGTGGGTTGGGGGCTGCCATCGGCTGTGTGGGAGGTCCTGTCCCCCCACGCCGGTTTCTCTGGATTCCCAGAGAAACTCCACCAGCTTAGCGCAGCTCTGGCCACGTAACCATTGGGTACTGTTTAATTATGCTGAGTGTCACTAAGGTAAATGGTCGCTATGACATTTTGACTCATCTTTGTGCAAGACAGGGGCTCCGTGGCTCAGGATGCGAGGCAGGCAGTGATGGCCAACCCCACGAGTGATCCAGAGACAAGCAAAGACATGGAGGATCCTGACAAGAGGCCTGGAGGAACTCTGTGAGAGCCCTGAGGAGGAGTGAGAAGGCTCTGCTGCATTCACACCTGGAACAGCAGCATCACCTTATCTGTATACTGGAGAAAAAAGCAGACGACGCACACAAACGCTGCAGAAGCCTGGAGCAGCTCAACGTGGAGCTGGAGAAACTGAGGGCAGAGGACGCTGTGAAAATGAAGACCCTGACCCAACGGATTTACCATCTGGAGGGGCGCTTCATGGATCTGGCCAATAACCATGAAAAAAATGATCCAGTTCAAGAACGAACACAAGAAACAGCACATGCAGCTGTGGGAGAAGAACAAGTGCCTGCGGCAGGAGAACGAAGCGCTCTTCAGCCAGACGGTGAGGGAGAAGGAAGCTGAAGTGCTCCAGCTCACTGCCCAGGCCAGAAAGCTCTCGCAACAGTTGGACTCCTTGCAGGAGAAATGTGCTTATGAGAGTCGTAGAGCCCAGGAGCGGGAAAAGGAGCTGCTAGAAGCTCAGAGTCTCCAAGCAAGCGCCTATGCCTGGGAAGTCAATTCATTAAAAAAAGAGCTGCAACACCTCCAGGAGAAGCACCAACAAACTGCTGCACAGGTGGAGGGCGCTGAAAGTCAGCAGAGGGCTCAAGGCAGCAAGCTGCAGGCCAAGCTGGAGAGGACAAATGAGGAGAAAGAGCGGCTCCAGAACCTGGCCATGGAGAGGGGGCAAAGCTCTGCAAGATAAGCAACAGAAAATTGAACAACTGGGGAGGAAGCTGGAGATTGCAGAAAACGCCAGGCAGAGAGCAGGAAAGTGCCTCGTGAACGAGGTGGCAGCGGCAGACAATGATCTGAAGGTCCAAGAGCTCCAACGACAGCTCGAAAGCAGCAAGCAGGCATGCAGCGAGCTCTCGCTGCAGTTCGATGCTTACAGAAAGCACAGCATGGATTTACTGACTAAAGAGAAAGCACTGAATGCCAAACTCCGTCATTTTATTGTGTAAATGCATCTTCCTCCTCTGTTCTCATCTTGGCAGGTGCCTGCCTCTACTGTAACACACCGCTGCATTTTGTTCCTCTCCACGAGACCCTCTTTTGGCAGAGACCATTTTCTGATTTCTCCGCAGTTACCAGTTTAAATCCTACAAGGATGGTTCTGTAGTCTACTTTTTTGTTATGCTTTTGAAGAAGTAAGAGTTCTACACTGTTAAATCTGAATGGAGATTGTTGAACTAGTCAAACCTGTGACATGAAAGATTAGGGTGGAAAATGTAAAATATGAATTTGGTTTATTTGGTCCTAATCTCAGTTGTATTGTACATTTTCATTTTTTTTACAATTAAAATCACATTATTTTCCAAGACAGACCAAAGCTCAAACCCTTAACCTTTTGCATTTGATTCTCCCTTGAAGTTGGGCATGTAAGAGGTTAACATGGAGGCTCCAAGAAAGAAATCTCACCTTGCCCTGTCTGTGTTGTGAACAGTCATGATTCAGCAACTTAATGGGTCAGAACACAACACCTGATGCTTAAGCAGGTGACTGTGTATAGTTGCCTAGTAGTCTTAGGAGTTTCTACAATTGGTTTAGTCTTATTTAATGTCATAGCATTATCTATATCCCTGTTCAGCTCAAAATAAATTGTCAGGTCTTTGGGTGACTTCAGCAGTCTGGAAGAGGTTGAGGTCCTGGATGTTCTGCTAGTTTAGGTGTCTCCTAGGTAGAGAAAATAGTGATGATGCACAAAAGGGAAAGGGTGTATGTTTGGCATTTTCTGACAAGGGAATCTTTCCCTTTCCTGTCAGCACTGGGAGATACGAAGGCATCCACCTCTCTCCAGCCTTTCTCCCACCCAACGAGGAAGTTTTAGTCTGTTGAGTTTCAGCTCCTGCTCTTTAACACTCCAACAAAAAAAACAGGATGGGCCAAAGGCTATCCCCCACCTGGGCTGTAGGCAGCTTCCTCGAGAGCTCTCCAAGTTCTTTCCCACGTGTTTATTGGGGACTAACCGTTTTAGCTAGCTGTTGGGGTAGCTCTTAGTCTTGAGCATCTACGGAGCAGCAGCACTGCATCAGACTTGGTACCTGTTGAGCCATGTGTTTAGAAGTGTACAGAAAGGGCGAGAAGATCCTACAGCTTGAAACCGGTTCATCTCAAGGATGTACTGAACCAGATGTGCTTTCTAAATAATAGCTGTCAGCAGACTTGTCATCTGAACTTCTCCCTGAACCCGCAGAAAGCCACGTGGGAAGAACTGCTGTGCCACTGCATGACAAACCACAGCCTTCCTTTCGATCCTGGCTCCTACAAGTGTCATTCCACACCAGATTTATGGACCACATCCTCTCACTTTTCACCCATCTTTTTCCCATGGGCACGCCCATGCTGCATGTGTGTGTGAACAGCTGCAGTGTGAACACCTGCTGCCCCAGGCTACCAACTAGGCCCGGGGTCAGAGGGGAACTGGGTAGGCTGTGAGTCTGATGATCCGTTTTTCCTTCTGTGACTGCAAGAGAGCCTAGAACAGGTGCCCAAATCTGTGCAGGGGACACCTACTTGTGGGGTGACAGGAAAGCCCCC